TTTTAAAAATAAAATGTGAGCGTTTGCGGCACTTTTTTTTTGTAAGAAGCTCCTCCAATTTTTATTTTATTTTTTAAATTTTAAAAGCATAAATACCTACCATAACAAAATAGGAAATTAACTTTAAATAATACAAACTATTTTCCATGAACCAAGAATAATACATACTTTGGAAATTACTTTTAATAATACCAACTATCCAAACATAGACCAAAAGTGATATAGAGCAATTTTTCAATGAAAATTCAGTTATTTAATTCATCAAAAAGTAGTATCAAAATATCAAATAAGTGATTGTATTTCCAAATATCATTTAATAGATAGTTTGCTATTAGATTTTAATGTCTTAAATGATTGGATTTCTTGATGAAAAGTAGCTCCATATTTTTTTTTGTTTTATATTCAAATAGTTGGTATTATTAAAAATCATTTTCAAAGTATGTATTATTCTTGGTTCATGGAAGATAGTTTGTATTATTTGAAGTTATTTTCCCTAACAAAATAAACTATAATAAACAGAACCACACGAATTGATTCTTGAAACCATAATGAAATATCAAATTCCTCCATTACAAACTCGTTGACGAATATTACATGAGCAACTCTACCAATGTTTAAACTTCAACAAATTTAAAATAAACTAATATGCACATACTAGTAGTAGCTATTTACATGTTCATTATATAAAAAATCTGTAATATATACTTCTAACACATTTTGTCTTGTGCATATGCTTCGGATCTTGATTTCGAAACCTGAAATATTTATATAAAACAACAATTAAGTCAATAGTATAAAATAGAATTATATGTAACCTTGTAAAGTGAATCAAGATAAAGTCGTTACACACGATAAGGCAAAAAAAAGGAATCAGCCATAGAGCACACAAAAACTACAAATCTGTCAGCTAAGAAATGGAGTATTAAATCCAACAAGGAGACTGCAAAAGCAGCACAACCGACTGCACTTGTACTGGACGGTGATAGTGTGCAAACCTCCAATCCAGATCCTTCTTCAAGCAAGCTTATTATGGTTGAAGAAGCCACATAAGATATTATCATTGAAGACAATATTGCAGTTGAAAACATAAGCCTAGAACCTAGAAAAACTTGTACTGTTCGGTCCTCAATTGACAATAATCAAAATCTTGATGCAGAAGAAAAACAATACCTTATTCAGCTTGACTACGCCTCAAACATTCAGAAGCTAAGACAGTGTGATGACTCTGCAAACAAAGTGGGAAAACTCAGAACAACACTGATAGATGATGACCATAATTCTGAAGGGGAAGATCCTGAACACCTAGAACCTGTAACCATATCTCAATGGCAGGATCTATTAGCTACTTTATCAAGCAAAGTTAAGATAGGGGTTGATCGGGAAGCATCAAAAGCATAAAAAGATAACTCCCAATCCAACAAATATGCAGGTAAAAAACAACTAAGAAAGAATATGTTTCTACCTTTCCTCCTCTCATCACACGATCAACAACTAAAAAGGGAGTAGTGGAGCTCCAAAACCCACGAAGTAAGTATTATAAAATGCATTGAAAAAACTTATTTTGATACATTGAGATTAACAATTTAACACCCCAATTACGATTATTATTGAGATTAACATTGAGATTAATACCCCATACTACATGTAATTCATCATTGAGATTAACACCCAAATTAAGATTATTATTTTATATGTACGGAGTAAATGATTAGTGATACCAAATTAAGAACTCTTATAATAAATTAACAATTAACATAACTCCAAAATTGACAAAAACTAAACTACACATTCTATTTCCACATATAAACCACCAAATCAGACTAATTGGATAATCACATTCAAGAAATTCATATTAAATAGAACATTTGAGCATAGAATAACCAGATAATCAGAAATTCAAGAAACAAGTAACCTCTATTGATGTCCGCCGACATAGAAGCCCAGACAAATTGAAGAGAATTCGTATCTCATTGTCTCGACGTCGAACAAAAGCAAAACTCAAGCTAAATAGACAACTTGACCAGTACTGATATGACGGCTAAATGAATTAGATAAACAAATACTCTAACCTAGATAATTTGGTCGCGTCAGACGAGGTAGCAAGAGTTGGAAGCTTTGGTGGTGGCGGGACAGAGAGCGGCGTAGCAGTGAGGGCCGCGATAGTGTCAAGCTCATTGGCTAGAGTCGGAGAGATTCCCCGAGAGCTTCTAGCGACAAGGACAACAACGGTGACACAGAGAGGAGGCGTGAGTAACATCGACGCGGCGTTGGAGAAGGCGGAGAGTCACAGCGCGGCGGCGGCGAGAGGGCTTCGTCGGATCTACACTACCTCTTGCTAAGAGTTTGATTTCGATCTAGGGCAGATTTGCATTATATTTACGGAGTATTTTTCAACATAAGGAACGAAGTATTTATAGATGATTCAATAACAACAAGCGCCACGTGCATCGCTTTCATAACTGAAGAGTCACACTTCTTATATATATATTTATTTAATTAAATCTATTTTGCAAATTGGAGGTGCTTATGCACTTGAAAGCGCTACACGCACGACTATAAATTCTAGTGGTAATTTTTTTTAATCATTTAGAGACGCTTATTTACATAAAAGCCCCGCACGCTTTATATAAATAAAAAAATCGTGATTTTTGGTTGTTTTGTGGCGCTTGTAAAGAAAAGCGTCTCAAATGAAGCGCCTCCGATTGACGTTTTTCCACTAGTGAAGGTGGTTTGAGCTAATCAAAGACTAGGATTGTATAATATATTTTGGACATTTATTTTTTCTTCATATATTACTATAATATTTACCACTGTCCCATAAAATTTGACCAAATTTTCTAGCTTTTTGGCCGTTCCAAAAAACTTTGACATTTCCATTTTAAAGTAACAAATTATGTGACTAAAGTAATTTCTCTCACCTCTGCACAAAATTCAATCACAAAATTTTTACTTTATTATTTTAAGTGAAAGTCAATTTTGGTCAAAATTTTATGGGACAGAGAGTAGTAATAATTAGGAATATAGAAATGTATAACGTCTTTTCACTCTTAGGCTTCGCCTATTCCTGCTTAAGCTTTAAACGTTTGAGACTTAACATCGGCGCCTTGTCATGCCTTACGCCTTTTAAAACACTGCTCACAATTACTACGCAATATGGAGTATAATTATTTTAAGGGAAAATAATCAAATAGACTCTTCTACTATTTGAAATTCATCACCGAGTCCCCATACTGAAAAAGTACCATATGAGTACGCTTACTTTGAAAACACAATCACTCAGGCTATTTTGATGTGCTATAGCATATTAGCAGTTTATTTTTGAAAAAATAAATTAGGACAATTAGTAAATCATTTAAGAATTCATATAAATATGAAAAAAAATTATTTATAATATAAAAAACCTAAAAATAGAAAAAGATAAATAATTTAAAAACTTGAAAAAAATGGAGGAAAAAATGAATATGTAAAAAATAAATTTAAAATTTATAAACTTCTAAAAAGATGTAGAATATACAAATAATTCATAGATTTTATTTATATTTATTCGAATTTTACCAATTTTTAAGGTTTTTAATATAATAAACTTGGTATACAGGTCAAAAACCATTTAAATGGTGGGAAAAGGTGCAAATAAGCCCTTGAACTAACTGAAAAAGTGCAAATGACCGCTTTTATAGGATGATGCTCTGTCCAGCCGTCACCATTTGGGGAGGTTCCCGGTGGAATTTTTTGATGATTTTTTTTGAGAATCTTTTTCATTAAGTCTAGTTTACCTATACCAAATTTAAGCTAAAAATTCAACCGGGAAGGTAGTCAAATGATTTTCTGAAATATACTGCGCAATTATCTTCAAACATTTATTTGACCGCCTTCCCGATTGCATGTTTAGCTGAAATTTGGTATGAGTAAACTAAACTTAATGAAGAAGATTCTAAAAAGAAATCATCAAAAATTCCACCGATAACCGCCCCAAATGACGACGATCGGACAGGGCCTCCTATAAAAGGAGCGATTTGCACTTTTTCGGTTAGTTAGAAGTCTTATTTGCCGCTTTTCTCTTTAAATGGTGGGAGTGAAGGATTTTTTTGAACTACGTGTACTTCACCAGTTCACTGAAGCTCTCTTTGTATATGGATTTTAGTGATAGATTGAATACAAGGCCTATTTGACCTTTATTTAATAACCTCTGCATTTTTAGACGTGTGTGATACTTTATTAGAAAAAAAGATAATTCTTGTTGTGGACAAAATTTGTACACAAACTATACACTCCATGTTTACATAGGCATTTTGCCAAACAATTCTACCCTTTAAACAAATTATCTATGTACACCGGCACTATGTATGTGTGTACATTTTATCTTATGTACTAATTTTGCGTTCAAATGTAATTTTTTTTGGAAAAAGCAAACACATTTCATAGTATTGTACAGTGTACTAAAGCTTTTTTTGCAAAACTACTCATACGTGCTTTTGAACTTTTTAAAGTGATTTTGGAAAATGTGCTTAATAGTAAATGTTGGTAGTGTTTGAAAAAAATTGATTTTGAAAAGTTAAAGTTGATAGTATTTGATAAAATAAGTGTTTTTTGTGTAATATAAAAAGTAAATAACATACTCTAACTTTTACTAGTAGTTTTTAAATACTCCTTATTAATTTAACATAAGTGCTTTTAAATATTAATTTAAGCCAAAAAAAATTGGAAAAGCTTTTTTAAGCTGTTTGCCTGAGCAAAAACAAAATCACATTTCCGAGTATTGTACGTACCATCACTACCATCCGTCTTTGACAACACTCTCTCCACTTACCTGCCAGAGAAAAAGCAGCGATTATGAGGCGCTATAATCCTTCTTCTCCAAAACCCATCTTTCTTGTTCTGTTTTGGTTTGTATACAGTGCATATGTCTTGCCGACAATAGAGAAAGTGAATGGGGAGTCGATCTTGCGGAACAAACCCATCACAGCTTTTGCCCTTAATGTGCTCGATTTTGGAGCTGCGGGGGATGGCATTGCTGATGACACTCACGTAAGTCCTAAAGTTCTTTTTTTTTCTCAAATAAAAGTAAAAAAATTAATAGTTAAGGAATGACAACTTTATAATGTTTAAACTTTTGGATTATTTTCTCAAATACAAAAGCTTTGACAACATTTGATCTTTTTTTTCTCAAATACACATTTTGGATTATTTTTTCCTTAATTATGATTAAACTTTATAATGTTTGCTCATTTTTCAAAAGATCAAATGTTTTGGTTGGATGGAATTTTTATTTGGATCAGAGTCATCAGGCTGGGTTATAACTCATAGTGAACATGTATCTGAACATCAACATTAAAGATTAAAGATAGGGGTGGGGTGTTTTCTCTTGGACCACGTCAGAGTAGCTCTTAAACAAACCAAAGCATACCATATCATACCAGAAAATTAAGGTCCAAGTGAAACCATAGCATACCTTACTTGAGGCCTTATAGATTCATGCCTCATTTATAATACATTAATACCTCCCACCTCCCACCTTGTTTGAGACATGGGAAAGTGACAAACAAATTAAGGAAAAGTGTAATTGTGTAGTTGATTAGCAATGACACAAATATGGCCAGATGTGGCACAAGACATAGCATTTTGTGACGGATCAGAATGGAATACTGGAACAAAAATAGTGGAGGTTATTTAAAAGAAGTAAGCTGTCCCCAAATTAAGGATGTACATTGGAGTGATGAGAGAGGATGCAATTTGGATCTGCAATACATCACTTGGAAATGGTTTTGTTGAGTTGGACACATATTTTCATTGGCTTATTTGATGAAGTATATCCTTGTAGGAGTCACATCAAAAGAAAAAAAGTTGCAGGAGTATTTGGTTACCGTGACAAGCTTTTCATGCCCAAGCAGGCTTTCAAAGACGTGTGGCGGGTAGCTTGTATGTCGCAGTCTCGAGCAAATGTTATTGTTCCTGAAGGACAATTCATTGTACGACCAATTAATTTTACGGGACCTTGCATGTCAAGGGTGTCCCTCAAGGTGAGTGATCATATATACCTTTCCTCATTCACTTAAGATTTGTTTAGTGTAAAACATTGATGCATATCCAACATCATATGTAGCATGCCTTAATGAAAAAATTGTTGTCAAGAATATACTTACACAAATACGCACATAGGGGCTTGAAATAACGTATTGTAATATTGAGTTACAAATATGACCTGTAATCTTAAAAATATGATATTTAATGTGCTCAAGAATTATAGAAATTTCATTTGAAGAAGTGCAAATGCCTAATAGCCACATTACCCAAAGAACTATTATTTCTATTTAAAAAACTTCGCTCTATTCTAGTCATTTAACATTATTGAGTGATACATTATTGACATTTTGTGTTCCGATAACTTAGGTCTTTGGTTCTATTGTTGCTCCAGAAGATCCTGAGGTGTGGAATGGTTTGGATAGAAATAAATGGCTCTATTTCATGAATGTGAAACACTTGTCTGTAAAAGGAAGAGGAACGATAAACGGGAAAGGACAAAGATGGTGGGATGAGTCTTGCAAGATCAACAAAACAAATGTAGTTCTCATCTCCTCTTGTATATCATGTTTTCCCTCACATTTTAAGCAAACCTGTTTTGTTTTGCTCTAACGAGTCATTATCTCGTGAGATATGTTAAGTCATACACTCGAATAAAATATACATAAAATAACAAACTAACATATACAAATTTAGGATACTCCTCATATAAGGACTATTTGTAACCGTACATTGAATCATTTGAATGTCTAGAAACTAATGGCACATTTCTCTTTTGGCAGCCTTGTCGACATGCTCCAAAGGTCAGCGTATGCTCATATCAATCTATTTAAGGAAAGAGGGAACGATACTTATAAATGTCTCCAATCAGTGCAGGCAATGACTTTCCACAAATGTAATTACTTGAGAATCAGGGGCCTTTTGATGGTAAACAGTCAACAGATGCACTTATCACTTACCAGTTGTGTAAATGTCACAGTCTCCCATCTTAAGATCTTAGCGCCTTCTCATAGCCCTAACACTGATGGGATTCACATAAGTACATCCTCAAGTGTCACCGTCAAGGATTGCATTATAGGCACAGGTTTGCTGCCCTTCAAGTTTAATCACTGTCATATTTGCAAGGCACTCTGTTTCTAGTACCGTGTTTCAATTATGCTATGCCTTTTCCGATCTGGTGTTGACACACACACACACACATATATGTCCCATGCATTTAGATGTGTGAATGCTTGCAAATCATAGGTGCACTTGGCCAATTTCTTGTCTTCTTCTCTGTTTTTACTTTTCTACTTCAATTCATTTCTTCTTCTTCAAATTATGAAGAATCTAGTCATGACTTTGCGCTTCTTCCTCTTCAAGTTAATTACAAATCACTCTAGGTTTTTTCATCTTCATCAATTTTCAACTAAAGTTTTCTTAATCTAAAATAAATATTATATATATATATATAGAAGCCTTCTCTCTCTATTTATATTACATAAATAAATATATGAATATATATATGAATATATATATATATATCATGCATAATTATATATATTATATATATTCATTTTTTTTATTTATGCTAAGAATAACTGAATAAGGTTGAACCTAACTCAACCCCTAAGGCCTTGTTTGGTTCAAAGGAGGGGAGGGAAGGGGAGAGTCAAGAAGGGAAGGGAAGGGGAAGGAAGGATTTTGATAAAAAATTATGTTTGGTTGGAGGAAATAGTAGGAAAGGTTTAATGAAAATATTTTTGCAATTTACTTTTATTTGATAGCTTACTTAAAAAAATAGATACATGTCTAACTATTGTGAATATTATTCCTATGGTCATGAGTCATAATTTTATTTTATTTGATTGTTTACTTTTTTAATTTTATAATTTTCATTTTCAGTTTGGAATTTTTAATTTTTAATTTTAAAATTTTATTATTTTTAATGTTTAAAATTTTTAATTTTTAATTTTTAAATTTTTAAATTTTTAAAATTTTTAATTTTTTAATTTTTAAATTTTTTAATCTATTTTTTTTTTAAATTTTTTAAATTTTCAAAATTTTTTGTTTTTTACCGTTTTATATTATAACGTTTTTTTCATTCACGTAGGAGATGAATAGTTTGCGGTTATCAACACGTTTCCTCCTAAATACCCCGATTTGGGGGTTTAGAATGGAAGGAAGTGGAGGATTTTGAAAGTCTTACACTTTCCCCCCCTATTTCCTTCGACCAAACACACACAAATCCCCCGCTTTCCTCTCCGCCTCTCCGAAACCCTCCAACCAAACAGGGCCTAAGGGGATTTAAAGAAATGAAGTTCGTCCTGCACTTGTTGATAATTCATGCAGTCACTGATGATATATCGCCTCCCATCAGGATGCTACTCATTCAACATAACATAGCGATTTATGGTTGTTGATGACGCAGAATGGCGCGTGCACCATGTGGCGCGCAATTCCCCCTTCGCCATGAAAAGTGGGCGTGGCGATACCTATACCTGTGGCGACGCCATTTGGGCGCCATCGCCATGGCGACAGGCTACTCTCTCTGCGTCCCAGTCAAATAATCTGGATCGAAGCATCTGGAATCCATGGGAAACGTTCAGAAATTTTATGCATCACCTTCGAACCCCCTGTTCTCTGCGATTCAGTTCTCTGCGAATCCCCAGTTGTTTGTTCCATTCCTGACCGCGACCTCCATATTGTTTTTTATTCTACTTTAGTAGTTACTAGTATTCTACCTGTGCGAAGCACGAGAATTTATCATATGACATTATACACTATGCAATATAAAAAATTAAACATTTGGAATTTAAAAATAATACGTAAGTTTAATAACTTTTGATGCATACATAATAAGAGTTACATGTGTATTAATGTCAATAAAAATCAAATATTCGAAAAATGATAATTACTGATGCATTCCCAGTAGAATCAGCAACACGTAGCATAACCTTATATCTACTCATGCAAATTATGTCTAAGTTATCCATTGTTTTCCATATATATACATATATTAAAACAAAAGTTAATTCTGAAATTAAGTAAGACGTAACCTTGGCACACCATCAACACATGACTTGGCACAATTTGTACAATGGAATTGCGAATCTGTTTTATCAAGTTTCTTAGTACAGTTTGGGCAGGATAAATACCACCAGTTGTCACCACTCTCTATTGCAACGATCCTTGCATAAACCCAGAAACTTCCGCCCTGTAAACATATTTCAATTTTAATTTGCATTTTGGAAAAAAAGAAAAAAATTCGAATTTGAAAATGAAACCTCTTTTGATTCATAGAGTTCATCTATAGTTTTCAACGGTCCAGTAAAGTTGTTAAGTTTCCTCCAATATAGGCAAGCGTGAGTTTGATGTCACTGAAAGAGTACTTATACTTTGCACCTCAATATTCCTCTCGATCATACTTGTAAAAGAACAAAGAAACGACGTAATAGTAAGCCTAAAAAAATTGTATTAAAATAACTCATTCATTTATTATTGTGAAATAAAAATGATATCCATTTACCCATCCCTAAAACGCTTGAACTCATCACTTGTTTCATTAATGATAACCTTTGTAATGTGGAATGAGGTTGATAATTGCGGTGCACCTACACAAAACCGTCAATACCAATGTCACTTGCTATTTGAAAATGTTCATTTTCAAATTATGTAAATTTATATGAGCAAGAGTAACCCAAATCAAACCATTAAACATCTTTGCACGACAGAATTGCACAAGGCATATGACGGGTTTAACCGTATTGTTATCCAAATACGGATTCCCTTCATTGATGTAGTTGTCCCAAAATGTGCACCGAATCTGGCGCATCCTATGGAATATATAAAAAATATATGTAATAATAATTATGATAGAATAACATGATACTTCACGTGTAGACGCAAACACGTACTCATTATCTTGCAGCAAAACTTGTCTTGTTTTATGTGGCACCCCTTTTACCAATGTATCTTCTACACCTCTTTTCGAGACAATGTGACCAATAACATCTAAACATTAAAAAAAATATAATTCCATTAGCACAAGCGAAAATGCAACACATATTTATGAATATATTTTATGGGAATAAAAATATAATCTAAACAAACTCGGAAGAACTACTAACCAAACATTTCGGTTTCATCCAATATGTTTGCTGTCAACACACTCTCAAAAGATTTGAATTTATACACCTCGTTCAAGAACTCCGGCTCATTGTGTTCCGTAATTTGAGTCTTTGGGAGAAAAAGTATCTTGAACTTGTTTGGTGTGGTCTTGTATTTTTTACCATCATATGCCACGACAAAATTGCCAATTGCATAAACCTCTCCCTCTTTCATTGCATCCTTATACTTTGCAATCAAAAAGCTTCGAATCGTTCCATGAATCCGATCTCCCTAGCATTTTAAAAATAAAAAAAGCCGTAGGGCATTAACGAAACCAATTATTTGTCAAAAATTGCCTTACAATCTATATTCAAGAAAATATTCGTTTTGTAATTTCTACTATCCATATTTCAATATATCATTTATTTTATCAAAACATTTTTAGACTCTCTGGTAGACATGTACGTCAAGTGCCAATTATTTTATCTAAACGTTTTAAAACATTTTCAAACAATTATTTTTCAAATGCTGCCTTACAATCTATATACATCAATTTAAGTTCGTTGCTACATGTACATCAAGTGAGGACATCATAACGGAATGTAAATATAGCAAATATCTACCTCCTTGTCATGAAACACACACTTCAGGCTCTTAACTTCACCGTCTTCACTTTGTGAGTAATACATCCGCACCAGCCTTAGTCTTAAACCCCAAATCCTGGATTGAGGAGATACATCCCAAATCAAACCAAACATACCCGCCATTTTTCCACAAGTATTGAACTCAAGTGATGCATTCATCTCTATTTGCTATGCGCCTATGGTGGGCTGTAAAGATGTTTAGGTCCCTATTTATAGAATAAATTTCAACCCTATTTAATGTTTGAGTGTCTGCACGTGTTTTTTTAAGTTCAAAAGGCACTTTCAAAATCAAAAATCGTTTCATATAACCCCACATTTTATTTAAACAACCGGTTACTACTAATTACAATTTGAAGACCAAAAGGCACCTTAAATAATTCACATGTTTAATATCACACGTTTTCCTAAACACCTTTTCCTAATCTCGGATTAACACATTTTCCTAAAACACACGTTTTCCTAAACACCTTTTCCTAATTTGAATTTTGAATGCATAATGCCACCCAAATTCCCTCCCAAACTCCCCCCCCCCCACTTTTCCATTTTAATATATATATAGATTTAAAGTAAACTAATAAATAGCTTAACTTATAATTAATACAATATACGATTAATTCAAATTATTTTTATTATTTTAATATTCCGAGTTGTTGGAATACACACTCACACAGGATCTTACTATCCGAGTTACGATCCTAAATTCGTCTTTCAATCCTACATAGGATATTTAACTTCACATGTTTTGGTTAGTATTGAACGTGTTTTATCATATTTTGGTGGTTAAGTGATACAATTATAGTGTCTATAATTCGTTTTTTAGTTTTTTTTGTCACGTGGCGACGCCATATTTGTGTCATCGCCATGTAAAAATGCCTGAATATACAAATGCTGCCATTCTTGAATTGATTGTTAGTTACTGAAACTGTAATGATGATGTGATAAAGTGAAAGCAGGAGATGACTGCATATCTATAGTTGGAAACTCCTCGTGGATTCGTATAAGAGGCATTGCATGTGGTCCAGGCCACGGTATAAGGTATCCTAATTTGACTTGTTTTCTCTTTTCCAAAACTTGTTCATTCAAATCTGTCAGGTACTTCATCGGGAATTTGCCTACATATTACTCATCATATAAGAGTTGAAGTTCTTTACCTCATTGGGCTTACACTGCCAGTATTGGAAGCTTAGGAAAATCAACTTCATGGGATAACGTGCATGACGTTAGTGTAATAGGAGCATTTTTTTCAAATACCAAGAACGGGGCAAGGATTAAAACATGGCAGGTAAATAGTCTTGGTGAGTTTTGCACTGCATGTTTACCTCAATATTCACTTTGCACCCACCACAATTTGTTTTCTTTGACTTTACATCCTGATGGGGTACAATGTCAAACTTTGGGGTGAAAATCGAATGCAAATACCTTTTTTGTTAGCTGTTGCACACACTGGCATAGCTGGGGGGGGGGGGGGGGGACCTAGGCCTCAGCCCACCCCAATTTTTAAAAGTGCCTTAATTACTAGTGTAAAAAATTTGAGTAATTTTTTTTTCAATAATTTTCTTTGTACTGGCCCAGTCCGGCTCACTGTTCTGGCTACGTCCATGGTTGCACCCCATGTTTAGAGTTGAGAGTGAACCCTATGCGGAACATAGTTAAAGATGACAAAAGATGGGGCATGAAGTCCAAATAATGAGGTAAATATGAGGTTTTAAAGTCCAACCGGTAGGTGGATGATCTTTCTTAAGTTCGGAAACAAAATATGTCACGACTCATAAGGGACCATAGTTTTGTATTTGTTCTTTTGAGTCCGCTAATGCAAGGGAAGATCCTTTTCTTTTATTACTTAAAAAAACAGGGAGGTAGCGGTTTTGCAAGGAACATAAAGTATGAGAACATTATGATGAAGAATGTCTCAAACCCAATTATAATAGATCAGTACTACTGTGATTCATCAAAGCCATGTCTAAACCAGGTACATATATACCTCACTTATTAGATCTATCTGTTCTAAAAGCCCTGTCTTGTCATGTTGATAGAACACTGGTAGAAATCGATATAGAACAGTAGAAAATCTAAAGAAATCAATCTAAGAACAGATCAACAAGTGTTTATTGAAGTAGGAAAAGATCAATGAAGGTAGACAGTGCCCAAGACAATTCGAGATGTCTAATCTCCAAGCCAAGTCTCAACCAAAATAACATCCTACTACTTCTAGCTATTATTCACTTATTTATAGTAAGTATCCACGCAGGGATAAACAGAAACTAACTAACTAGTTAGTTAACTGCTAACAGTCTTCTTACTCCTCCTATGATAGCCTTTATTAAAATATTGAATAGGCTGCTGCACCATACGCCTACCACATGTCCAGACACAAAGCTTCCCTTGGACATTTATGTTTTTTTTTGGGGGGGGGGGGGATAGCCCTAAATAGGAGCAGATTAAATTCCTAAAAGCATATGTAGGACTATGATGTTTATCTTTCCAAAATAGGACTAAAGTACACTCTATCTTTCTTTTTTCTTTTTTGGAAGAATTCGGCTTATATTGATAACAGATAACCGCTATCCCAGTATCCCGTGAACCAGACTCGGAATTAATCACCTCCAAAGAAGCAATATAATTTGCTGATCCAAAAGTGGGAAACTTAAAGCCATAAACAGTCACCATATTCCTCTCATCTCCCACATCCAAAATCAACGTCTTACAAACAGGAACACAAAAGAAAAAGCAAATAGCAAAGCAGAAATAACAATCTCTGAAACAACAAGCAAAACAAAAAATAAAAAACTTCTAATGCAGCAAGAAAACTCGAATCGTCCCTCGGACCTGCGGCCTCTGTACGAGCCTGCCAAATCGCACGAGCACCCGAACTTGCTGCCTCCTTGCACTCCATGGCGGCGGCTTGGGAGGGGGACGCACTCGCCGCTCATCCGCCTCAAAAGTCAGTAGCACTCCTACCACCTTAAACCCTGGAATACTTTTCTCTACCGGAACGTCTTTCGTATTGAAATCCAGATCTTCTTCCTCCGTCCCAATCGCCATGTTTTTGTATTTGTATACAAAACACTCCATTCACAGCACAAAACCCGTCCAACAAACGAAGCTTTCGTGGAGGCCGACTTTGACAGACCACGCCGAAATCTCCAACGCTCCTCCTTCCACCGCTGAACTCCTCGACCGAAACAAAACTCCAACCAAAGCGAAGCCCCGAAGAGCTCGACAGAAAACCCGCACTCCAACACAGCCCCCAACGACGGCGAGACCTCCTGGCCAGCTGGCGGCGGACAAAAATTAGACGTTACCCGAAGGTAACCCTAGAGAGATGTTTAAGAAATTTCCTCTTTCAAATCATTAAAATATAATGTAAATATTACACTCTATCTTTCTATTCTACCCTTACAATAACTTAATAAGAAAATCATATTTCAATTTGTAATAAAAAAGTAATACTCCCCCCGTCCCTTAAAACTTTGCCATCTTTTCTTTTTGGGACGTCCCAAAAAACTTTGCCACTTTCCCTTTTAATCAATTATTTTGTGATTTCTGTTATTTCTCTCTCCTCTGCACAAAACCTTAACCACACAATTTTTACTTTATTATTCTCCGTGCGAGTCAACTTTGGCAAAGTTTTAAGGGACGGAGGTAGTATTATTTTAATTTATAATAAAATCGTAATAAAATATAAATATAAATAATATAAAAAATAAAATAAAAGTTTTAAAAATAAAAACTTTAAAAATTAATAAAAATAGGCCAAACACATAAAAAATATAAACAAAATATTAAATCCTTTTCGTGCCACCTCTCACCAACGCCACCTCCGGTTGGTGGAGAAAATGTCATTTTGTGAAAACTAAAAAGGCCACTTTTCTTAAAATACCATAAAGATGAAATTATTACTCTTCCACAATGCCAAAATTCTCTAAAACTGTCATCAAGATGGTATTACCGACACATGTTGACATTTTTCCCAGTGGTCAGAGCAAGTGGATCCCCTTATTTAAGAATAAAGGTGATGTACAAGAATGTGCCAACTATCGAGGGATTAAGCTTATGATGAGTCACACCATGAAACTTTGGGAGCGAGTGATTGAGTAAAGACTTCGAAGACCTCTGTGAAGATTTCAGAGAATCAATTCGGTTTTATTCCTGGTGGCTCAACAACTGAGGCTATTCACCTTCTTCGGCAACTTATGGAGAAGTATAGAGATGCTCATAAGGATCTGCATTTGGTGTTCATTGACTTAGAAAAGGCATATGATAGGGTACCTCGAGAAGTTTTTTGGTGGGCCTTAATTAGGAAAGGCATATCACGCAAGTATATCAGCTTCATCATGGATATGTATGAGGATTGTACTACAAGTGTCTGTACCGGTGTAGGAAGGACTGAAGAGTTCCCAATTACTATCAGAGTGCACCAAGGATCGGCTCTGAGCCCTTTTTTATTTGCCATAGTCATGGATGAACTTACGAAGTCAATTCAAGACGATGTACCGTGTTGCATGATGTTTGCTGACGATATTGTATTGATTGATGAGACGCAATCAGGTTTTAAAGCAAAGTTGGAAGTCTGGCGACAAACATTGGAGAATAAGGGTTTCAAACTAAGTCAGAACAAGATAGAGTACATGGAGTGCAAGTTTGGTGGAGGTAGAAGCAATGGTAATAGCGGAATTACTCTGGATGGTAAGGAGGTACCAGTGAGCGATATGTTCCGTTACTTGGGCTCCATAATTCAGAAGGACAATGAGTTAGATGGAGATGTATCCCATAGAATCAGAACAAGGTGGATGAAGTGGAAGAGTGCGTCAGGATTTCTATGCGATCGAGGTATGTCGACTAGACTTAAGGGTAAATTTTATAGGATGACAATTAGGCATGCATTACTGTATGGCGTAGAGTGTTGGACGGTGAAACAATGTCGCATTCAAAAGATGAGTGTGTCAGAGATGCGCATGCTGCGTTGGATGTGTGGACATACTAGGAAGGACCGCTTGAGGAATGAGACTATCAGACAAAGGGTGGGAGTAGCACCTATTGAAGACAAGATGCGGGAGTCTCGCCTACGGTGGTTTGGTCATGTGCGTAGAAGACCGAGTGATGCACCTGTCAGACGAGTTGTGATGTGTGGAGAAGAGACAGAGAAGAGAGGGAGAGGAAGACCCAAACAAACGTGGGTTAGGGGAGTTCGAAGTGATATGCTTCTTCTGAGGTTGGTTGAGGGCATGACTTTGGAGAGAGCTAAGTGGAGGGCGGGTATTCGTATGGAGGGGTGATCTCATATCATCTTTTTCTCTCATCTTTTTTCCTTGTTTTTTATCCTTATATATATAAGCATTATTTGTATCCTTTTTATTTTATCATTTTTATGTATATTCATCTCTTTTTATATTATCTTTTTATAATAACTTATCTTTTTATCTTTATTTCCTTTCTTTTCCTTTTGGTGGTGATATCATGTATTGATTAATGTTAGCCGACCCCAATATCTTTTGGGACTAAGGCTTGGATGTTGTTGTTGTTGTCGTCAGAGCAAGGAGGTGGTTGAGGCGGCAGCTGAGACTGCATTTTTTACATTTGTTATTTTTTATTTTAATTTTTTAAGTTTTTTAATTTTATAATATGTTTATTAATTTTATTTAATATTTATTTTCATATTTTTTACATTTTCATTATAATTAAAGTTATGTTATTATTTTTATGTTTTAATTATTAATGAAAATATGAGTTGTATTTAAACAAAACAAGGGTAGGATTGGAAAGCTACTCCTATTTAAGGAATTTTAAACTTATATTCATATTCTTGCAATTTAAGTTTCATTTAGTCCTATTTGGGGAATTCCCCCTTTATTTTTTCCCTAAATGGCCTTCCATATAACCCATGTGACCTGCCTTGGCGCCTATTTGAAATGCCTCAATTCTATCGTGCGGGTGCCGGGTAGTGCCTAATGCTTCTACAGTCACTACTATTCCAAGTCACAACTCATGATATTTCTGCTCTAAAATATTACTCGCTTCGTCCTGCAAAATAGTTTTCGGTTTACTTTTCGGACCATCCCAAAAAATAGTTCTCATTTCTCTTTTTGGAAAGTTTTGTGTGGCTACCATTCATTTATCTTTTTCTTACTCAACCACAATCATACATCTTCACTTTATTCACACTTTCTTAAACTCCGATCCAAATCCTAGTGGGAACTATTTTATGGGACGGAGGGAGTATAAATTGCTAAAGGAGCAGTTCTACCGTAGTGACTCATTATTAGGATCACTACACATTACAAATATTACACACTTCCACTGTTCTTTAAAATTTGACCAAATTTGACTTGCACGTGAAATAAGAAAATAAGAACTGTGTGATGAGGTTTGTCTAAAGGAAGAGAGAAATAACCTTAACCACATCACCACTTGTGTATTACTTTAAATGGAAATGACAGATTTTCTAGGGTGGCTAAATGAGAAAAGTTGTCAAAGTTTTATGGATGGAAGTAGTATGTAGGGGTGAGTTTGGTTCTTTCGGTTCGGTTTTGACCAAAAACCAAATACGGAACCAAAGTAAAAAGTTCGGTTCTGTTTCGATTTTACACATTCCTAGTATAGTATGAAGCATTAAGGATGTTTTTACTTGGACTGTAATTTGTTGGTCTGGTCTAGTCTGATCTGGTCTGAACTGGTCTGGTCTGGTCTGGTTTCTTTGTATTTTTATAACTATCCAAGTCTGGTCTGAACTGGTCTGGTCTGGTCTGGGACGAATTACAGTCCAAGTAAAAACATCCTAAATTATAGTCACATTCCTAATATCTTTGTTTCATTCTTCTAGTCATTATGGACCTAGTCCCATGTAAACGCGCGCACACACATTGTTTATAAATGATGGATTCAATACAATTGCTCACTGAGTATTACAATTTCTACACTTGCCCTACAAAATGAACGCAATAGCAACATTAACAACTTAGTGATCATTTAAAGTTTAGAGTTATTAAGCCATCCCATACAAATCAACACATAGGCTTTAAATTATCTCTCCTTTTTAAAGCTAACCACTTAGCATGGAATTGCAATTCTGAATAGTGGTGATAATTTCTACGGCTCTTAACCCATGCCCATCCATATAGCCCTAGTGCCTGTATGTAAAAAGGATTAACAAGCTTCTATTTGCAGACTTCAGCAGTTGGTATAAGTAATGTGGCATTTATAAGAATTAAAGGAACTTCTGCTACAATGGAAGCGATACGAATAGCCTGCAGTGATACCTCCCCGTGCAGGAAGATATTCTTCAAAGATGTTGATCTCGTTTCTTCTTCCGGCAGGACGTCTTTCTACTGCTGGAATGCTTATGGGTCCACTGAAAATCTTGTTTACCCCCCACCATGTTTTCCTTGTGCTACAACTATGGTTCAGCCTACTATGATCCAACACACTAGTAGTAGTAGTAGCAGTAGTAGTAGTAGTATTCTCTCAATGTGATTATACTATTGTGGTTCCACACTAAAACTTCAATGCAACACTGTAAAGAAATAACAATAATGCTCTATATAAGAACTAACTTGCATTCTAGACGTTATTACTTTTGTCTCAAAAAATTCTTGTATATAGTTCTAATTAGTAAGCTTTCAAGTGTCTCAACTATACATGTCACAAAAATTTGGAAGATGCTACTGTGTATATATTTCTTCGAGGCTACTCATTCTTTTTATTTTAATCTAAGTTGTAATGATAATGTGACAAAGCGAAAGCAGGAGATGGCTGAATATCCATAGTTGGAAACTCAAAGCGCAATGGAAATTTTGAAAAATCCAGATGTATGACCTTTAGATGTTGATAAAAATAATAATAAACACATGCAGAGAGGACATGATTCATCAATATAAGAAATCGTACTATTGTCATGTACTCCTCCATTGATGTAATTGATCAATTTCTCTAGCAAACTACTATAAGAACCATATAGAACTGGAATACCTCTATTGTATTTATTACTAAAGACATACTTTCAAAACAATGTCAATAATTCAAACCTGTTGAAACTCTAGTTGTATTGGATTTAGCCCGTCTTGTATAGTAACCCTAGTGCTCTAGTTTTTGCTATAAATATAACCCTAGTTCTTAACATAAAGATTCATTATAATGAAATACAGTTTATATAGTTCACATGCTATCAGAGTCATTTATATGGCGCATTGTAGTTAGGACATTGTCTTTTTTTTCCGGCAAGTATTTCTAGCGTGAACAGTAGCCGCGCTAGGCGTTGGAGCACTTCCGGTAGTGATATATCAAATCTAACCTACCGCTCCATCGCGACCAACCCGCTGGAAACTGTACCAACTCGGAATCATTCACGTGCCTACACGCGCCGCCACTCTACCCACGGTTTACTGAATGATTTTGCAGATTTACTCTGTTTTACTCATCTGTGAGCGACACCGACGGATTTTTCAGACACCTAGGTCCCTAACGACCTTGACCTGTTAGTCTGGTACTCCCAAGCTTCTCCACGCGCTGCCGCCACATTCACACGCGTCACCGGTCCAGACTCGCGACCACCGTCGATGTCTTCCACGTGAGCACACTTGTTCCAGTGCTTGTTCCGCTTCTAAGGTCACGGTAGTGTTGCTTCCATATCTTTGTGTTATTTTAAGCTTACTGTTTTGCTGTTGTCCATACATTTGTGAGTAGATTAGTCACCTTACTGATCTGCCTGATCTTTTATTTGCTTAAAAGTAAAAGTCAAAAAATGTCAAGTTTCTCTTCGTTTGCTTCAGTTCCAATCATCACCACCGATCCATTAGTTGGAAGTATTTATTATCAATCATGGGCCATTTCTGTAGAGATGTGGTTCAAAGGTCAAGATCAAATTGATCACTTGAATATCGATGCAAATACGATCAAAGACAAGCGGAATGAATGGGAGAACATGGATGCCTTATTGTGTAACGTGTTATGGCAATCTATCGATCCAAAACATCATCCTACTTATCAATCATACCGCACTTGCAAACAGATTTGGGAAAAAGCTAAAGCCAACTACACAAATGACATCCAAAATCTATTTTCCTTTGGTTCCAAAATTGCTACGCTCAAACAACAGAATTGGACATTCAAGAGTTTCTAGGACGGGTTGAGGCATTACTGTTTGAATATAATAATATTCAACCTATCACTAAAGATAAGGAGAAACAACTCAGCAAAGACAACAACTTGTTATGGTTTTAACCTTAGCAAGTCTTCGCCCAAAGTGTTTATCAATACGTGAGCAAATTCTCTCCAGTTCTTCTATTCCTACAATGTCTGAAGGCATTGCCAGAATTCTTCGAGCCGCCACAATATCTGCTGACGCATCCTCTCAAGGTTCAGGGCATGATGGGGGAAATAAAAAAGGATATCTGTGACGTAATCGCCCCAAGTGTGATTTTTGTCATAGGATGGGTCATACTAAAGATAGGTGTTGGAAGTTACATGGTAAAATGTAATATTTGAGATTTAATTTAAACGGATTTATAGTACTACTCATACCAACAAGGTGCATCTCCTTTTAAGGGAGCTCATCACCCAAGAACTCCAAAGTTAAGCGTGCTTGCACGGGAGTAGTCCTGGGATGGGTGACCCCCTAGGAAGTTTCTCAGGGCGCGCATGAGTGAGGACAAAGTGCGCGGAAAAGGCTAGTGGTGGTTTGTGAGGACAGTACTAGAGGTCCGGAGAGAGGTCAGAAGTAACTACCTCAGGCCCTACGGGGCGGGGTGTTACATAAACCTTCCAACTCTGCCAATGTTGCTCAAATCCCCCAAGTTCCAGTTGTGGTGCCTCTAGACGAATATGATGCTTATCAGAAATTTAAGAAGTCCACTCCGACTTAGTCAACATCAGGTACTTCTAGAGCATGTGTGTCAAACACAACTGGCTCGTGAATCATTGACGTACTCAGGTGCTTCCGACCATATTTCTGGTAAACCCCATCTTTTATCTTATATTACAAAACACCAAAACCTTCCATTGGTCAACCCTAGCCAATGGTCTTCACACTTCGGCTACGGGTATTGGGCAAGCACTCCCATTTTCATTATTACCATTAGATTCAGTTTTATATGTACCTCATAGCCCTTTTAACCTTGTCTCTATTAACAAAATTACACGCTCTCTTAATTGTTCTATAACCTTTTATGCATGCTGACTCTGTGATTGTGCAGGACCTTTGTACGGGGAAGATGATTGGCATCGAGTGTGAATCTCAAGGCTTGTATCACCTCCAACCTCTTGATCTAGTTGTTTGTGTGGCCGCTGAAACGGCACTTTCCTTACATAATCGCTGGGTCATCCCAGTCTCTCAAAATTTCGGCGTATGGTCCCAGGTTTCTCAAGTATTTCCTCTCAAAATTTCGGCGATTGGTCGTTCTGTCAAGATTTTACGTAGTGATAATGCTAAATAATTTTTTGCCACTCCCTTTAATCAATTCATGACATCACGAGGTATGCTTCATCAGTCTTCTAGTGTTTATACACCTCAACAAAATGGGGTTGTTGAACGCAAGAATCAACATTTATTTGAAACTGCCCGTAGTATGTTGTTACATTCACATTCACATTTATTTGAAACTGCCCGTAGTATGTTGTAATAGAATGCCTTCTTCGGTTCTTGGTAATGTCATTCCCCATTCTGTTTTGTTTCCCACTCAAGCACTATTTCCATTACCACCTCATGTGTTTGAGTGTGTTTGCTTTGTCCATGATACCACATCAGGAATATCCAAAATGTATGTTAGGTCAATCAAATGTATCTTTCTTGGATATTCCCATCTTCAAAAGGGGTATCGTTGTTATTCCCCGGTCCTTAGAAAACATTTTGTGTCCACTGATGTCACTTTCCTTGAGTCCTCATTTTATCCCATCTCCCCTCTATGATACCCCCTCCTATGTCGACTTTCTCCCATATCTCAGACCCATCTCCATCCCCTAACCGATGCTCCTATCGACCCATTTCCACCAACAACACGTCCTTTACACGTGTATCAACGACACCCTTACCCTCCATGCAATGAGTCTGTGAGGTCGCGCCTGTTGATTCCCCTACTCCGGATCCCGCACCAGCACAGTTAGCTACCCAAGTGCCAGAGAACAATCATGATGATTTTCCCATAGTCCTCCGCAAAGGTACATGCTCAACTTTGAATCCTCATCCCATTTATAACGTTTTAAGTTATCATTACCTCTCCACCCCTTACTCTGTCTTTACTTCATATTTATCTGATGTTTGTATTCCTAAAACCACACATGAGGCATTATCACACCCAGAGTGGCGTCCAGCTATGTTAGCTGAAATGGAGACCTTACATTCTAGTGGGACATGAGACTTAGTTCCCCTCCCTATTGGGAAATCAGTTGTTAGGTGCCGCTGGATATACGCAGTCAAAGTAGGACCAGATGGAAACATTGATCGTCTTAAAGCACGCCTGGTTGCAAAGGGGTATACACAAATCTACGGATTAGACTACACTGACACATTTTCTCCTGTTGCAAAAATTGCATCTATTCGTTTGATTTTATACATGGCAGCAATGAGCCACTGACCATTATTTCAATTGGATATTAAAAATGCATTTCTCCATGGTGATTTACATGAGGAGGTTTATATGGAGCAACCACCTGGTTTTGTTGCTCAGAGGAGTCTGGTTTGGTGTGAAGATTACGTCGTTCTTTATATGGCTTGAAACAACCCCCGCGTGCATGGTTTGGGAGATTTAGTGTTGTTGTTCGTGGTTTTGGCATGACTCGGAGTGATGTAGATCATTCCATATTCTATAGACATTCTGCAGGCAATAAATGTATATTTCTTGTTGTATATGTTGATGACATTGTCATTACAGGTAATGATGACCAAGGAATTGCCCAACTTAAGGAATATCTTTTAAGCAATTTTCAAACAAAAGACTTGAGAAAACTAAAGTACTTTCTTGGTATTGAGGTTGCCTAATCGAGAAATGGAATTGTGCTCTCACAAAGGAAATATGCACTGGATATTCTTGAGGAAGCAGGTATGTTGGATTGTAGGCCAATGGATACACCAATGGATCCAAACGTCAAACTCGTGTCAGAACAAGGTGACCTCCTGTCCAATAAAGAGAGATATAGAAGGCTTATTGGAAAGTTGAAGTATCTTACCATTACAAGACCAGATGTTTCATTTGTTGTCGGTGTGCTTAGTCAATTTCTTAATAAGCCATGTGATGGACATTGGGACTAGGGATGGACCCAACTGATTCGGCCCGACCCGGAACCGGCCCGGCCCGCCACTGTGCAGGCCCAGACCGGCCCGGTTGGTGCTAACCGGGCCCGGGCTTTTACCTGGTTGGGGAGGGTTGGGCGGGCTGGGCTCAGGCCCTGTATTTTTTGAACCGGCACGTGAGGTTCGGGTCGGCCCGGGCTTTTTTTATTTTTTTTGGGTTTTTCAATTTTTTTTTCTTGGTTAGGGCTGGGTGTTTTGGGGGTGGGGGTTGGGGGGTGGGGTGAGGGGGGGGGGTCGGGGGTTAATTAGAAAGCAAAAAAAATTACCTTGACCCGGGCCCGGCCAGACCCGGTTAGGCCGGGACTCGGTATCAACCCGGACCGGTTCCGGGCCCAACAATTTGAAAAAAAAAGCCCGCCCGGGCCCGGTCCGGGTCCATCCCTAATTGGGGCGCAGCTATCCGAGTCTTGAGATACATCAAGAAAACTCCAAGACAAGGATTACTCTTTGAAGATTGAGGGCACCATGACATTGTTGGATATTGTGATGCAAATTGGGATGGATGTCAAATGGATAGACGTTCTAGTACTGAAGCAAGAATACCGTGCAATGGCCCTTGCTTCATGTGAGATATTATGGTTGAAGCATCTCCTCCAAGAATTAAAATACGGAAGCATGAAACCCGTCAAGCTAATGTGTAGTAATCAAGCTGCAGTGCACATTGATTCCAATCCAGTGTATCATGAGAGGACTAAACACATTGAAATTGATTGTCACTTTATTCGAGAAAAAATCACAAATGGACATATTGCTACTCATTATTAGGGATGGACCGGTTCCGGTTCGAGCCCGGCCGGGCCTCGGTTCATGAAAGGGAGGCCCGGAACCGGTGCGGGTAACCCCCGGGTCCAGGCCGGGCCGGGCCTCGGTTCTATTTTTTTTTTGGCTTTTCCTAGTTAACCCCCAACACTCCCCCTCACCCCCAAACCAACCCTAACCACCTCAAATGGCCCAAAATACCCAGCCCAACCCAAAAACTTTAAAAAAATTCAAAAAAAAAATTGGCCCGGCCCGGGCCTGAACCGGCAGGACCGGTTCACCTTTTGAAGGGCCCGAGCCCGAACCGACATCTCACCGGGCCGGGTGGCCCGAACCGGCCAACCAACCAGTTCACCGGCCCGGTCCGGGCCCGCACAGTAGCGGGCCGGTCCGATTTCAGGCCGGTTGGCCCGGCCCAAGTCCACCCCTACTCATTATGTCAAAACAACAGATCAACCTGCAGAGTTGCAGATGTTTTAACCAAGTCTCTTAGAGAACCTAGGATGCAACGCATTTGTAACAAACTTGGTGCATATAATTTATAGACTCCAATTTGAGGGGGAGTGTTGAAAGTTGAAACCGTAGTTGTATTGGACATTTGGGCTTAGCCCGTCTATATTAACCCTAGTGATGGAGTATATGGCCCGGGAACCCCCGGCCCACAGACTCCTACTACTCCAATAAAGGCCCAACAGGCCCAAATCACGGCGCCCAGAGTACCAAGTAGCCCACAATGCGCACCAGGGGTGCCTTCGACCCCCTGGCCGAAGGCTCTAACTCTCACAGGAGGGCCAACACAGCAAAACAAAGTTACTGGGAAAACGGCGAAAATCAGTAGCCCTCGGCACCCGGAGCCCTCGGCACCCAGGGGGTCCCCGATACTCAGAGCCCTCGGCTAGTCCTCTACAGCCGAGGGCACCTTTCCCGACATGATATCCGCGCCACATGCGTACAGATCACCGTACCCTGTACAACGTCCCATCCAACAGCCGCATTAAATGCGGCCACATGCGGTTGCCAGCGCCAACCAGTTGAGGTGACCTCTCGGCCAATGGACGCTTGACATGTGTCCCTGTCCGGCATTTATTGCTACTATAAATAACACCTCATTTCCCCATTTGTAACCAAGTCATAAACGCCGCATACTACTAAATATACTTTCTCTCTCTCTACTTACTTGCTCTGACTTCTCTCTTATCATTCTCCGTAATAACCCATCGGATAAGCTACCCCCCGGGTACACTATCCATCACCTAGTACTCTACTTTTTGCTATATATATAGCTACTTGTATAGTTCTTAACATCGAGATCATTATAATGAAATACAGTTTATATAATTCACAAAACCAAAGCCAAAAATTCAGAGAATAATGTAATAATTTAGAACGCACAAAAAACAATATAGCAAATCACCGATACACAAAAAATATCAAATTAAACAAAATCAGGAGAAATGATGAAATCTCTACACATTAACTAAGATAGATTTTACAGTGAAGATTTTAAAAAATATGATATTCAGAATACCCAAATACAGTTCAAGAATAGCAAAATTAAGATCAACCAAAATGAAAAACACAATCCGAATATCCAATACCAAACGAAAGGCAAATTAAATACGATTAAATTACATATAATTACCTGTAATTGTCAGCAACAAGAGCATACACATGGCATTAGGGGTGGATTCGGTTCGGGCCACCCGGCCCATGACCCGGCCCGGTACTGTGCGGGCCCGAGACCGGCCCGGTCGGGCGGTCCGGGACCGGGTGTAGACCCGAACCGGTGGGAATGGGCGGGGCGGGCACGGTTCCGAAAAAATGCGACCCAGGCCCGGCCGGGTCGGGCCCGGGCCCGAGTCCGGGTCCAACGGTCATATTTTAAAAAAAATAAAAATAAATGGCTACTTGCCGTTATGGGTGGGCTGGGGACAACCCAAACGGCTACATAGCCGTTGGGTGGGTCTTGGGGGGTCCGGGGGGGTTGGGTGGGGGGGTTGGGGTACAAAAAAACTATAAATACTCCATTTTTTCTATACAATTTACTACACATCTTCTCCAAATATTCCTACTCTCTAATCTCTATTCTCTGCTAATTTATTATTTATATATCTACTTTATACTTAAGATGGAAAATCAAGATGCCGTTATACGGTATAATTTTTATAAGCAGAAGGACCCGAAGACCGGGATGTGGTACGCAACTTGTAAATGGTGCGAGAAAAAATGTAGCATGTGGGTTTCAGGCGGATACAGGATGGCAATGAAGCATATGAAGACATGTGACAAAGCCAAAGGATCGGGAGGTGCGGGAAGTTCCGATTAATTACAATTTACAAAATGTTTGTCTCTTGAAGTTTGTTTTAATTTTCAAATGTAGTTCCTATTTCATTTCAAATAAATGCACTTAAAGTTTGTTTTTTAATACTTGTATAAAACTATAAACTATAAAATATAAATTAAAAATTTTAAAAAAAAATTTTAACCGACCCGGCCCGTGACCCGGGCGGGTGGCCCGACCCGAAACGGACCCGTCCAACCCTCGGGCCGGTCCCGAGCCCATGTGATACTAACCGGCGGCCCGACCCAGCCCGAATCCACCCCTACATGGCATGGGCTGATGGGCATGGGTGCATGGGCATAGGAGTGGACTCGGGCCGGGCCAACCGGCCCGGAACCGGACCAGCCCGCTACTGTGCAAGCCCGGACCGGCCCAGTGAACCGGTTGGTGCCCGATTTAGACAACCCGGCCCAGTGAGGTAGGCGGGCCGGGCCCGGGCCTCCTAAAACGTGAACCGGCCCGGCCGGTTTGGGCCCGGTCCGGGCAAATTATTATTTTTTCTTTTTTTTTTGGGCCCGGCCGGTTTGGGCCCAGCTGGGTTGGGCTGGGTATGATGGGCCATTTGAGGTGGTTTGGGGGTGAGGGGGGAGGGTTGGGGGTTAATTAGGAAAAGCCAAAAAAAAATATAAGAACCGAGACCCGGCCCGAACCGGACCCAGGGTTACCCGGGCCGGTTCCGGGCCTCCCCTTTCATGAACCGAGGCCCGGCCGGACCCAGGCCCGAACCGGTCCTCCCCTACATGGGCATATACATAGACATGAGACAAACGGACATACATACAGACATAAACATAAATATGTCGTTCATCATGGTCACATGCATTGATATTTTGGCACAAGTTCTCAAGTCAATCTCCATGTGTGAATATAAATTGAAGCGTAAATGTAAACATCATTAAAATTAACATTGATATCAAAATTAGCATTGATATTTTGGCACAAGTTGTCAAATCAATTCTCCCCGTACCCATTTCTAAAATCCCAGCCCTAGTATGCATTTTGCATAGGAATTTCACTTTGTGTATACCAATTACCAAACTACACGTACCCATACACCATAATTAATTAGAAATGCTGAAATGTAACTATCCTATATCCTGAATAAAACATGACAACATCTGATTTGCTTATTTGCTATAAACAGCCAGTCTTTAGAAGAATCTGGATAACAATAAAAACAGGAGGGATTTTAGCCAGAAACAATATTGCAAAAATGTAGAGCTCTATTCTCTGGTGTTTACGGAATCCAGTCTATCTTATAGACCCTTCAGAGATGGAAGAAACCTTGCACACCCCGGCTGAGGTAGTGAATGGAATATTTTTGTAGCAGGCTACCAACTCATTGTTAGTGTGGAGATCCACTTGGACGGTTTCCCAAACCTTCTTCTTGGGGTTCAAGACATCATCAGGCTTGCACTCGAATCCCTGAAACGTAACATGTTCGCCAACACCAGCACCTTCAGGTGGCTCAACTAACTCAACCTAGAACCAATAAAACAACAGGTAAACATTTTAGGATTCAAGAGTAAACTTTAATTAAATTTTAATGTGTACAGTTGAATAAAATTCTAGTACCTCATAACTGTGCATAGTGTGATTGAAATTAGGATTGGGTTGACATATGTAAGTCAAACCACACTAAAAAGATTGAATTTAATCTGTTAGCTCGTTCAATTTAATGTCATAATAACTCAGCATTATCTCGTTAATTTCTCTGATGTGAGATTATAAAGCTACCCTCAAGTGGGCAACCAGATTTTTTAAATCCAGATGGCTGGCCACTTGCAAATTGGATTGTCCCATCCCCTGAAACTAAAATTCAAAATGCAGCAGCGAACACTTAAAAGACCGGGTTGGACTTCCACACAGAAAACCGAAGATTCAGACCAAAATCTTATATGTTGGTTTGTTTGACCCCGCATGTGGATCGTTTGATTTTTTTTCATCTCGTAAGGGCACACTTCACAACCCAGTCATCATCTGTGTGTGCTATTCCTATCAAAGGGCACATACCCTCATGTCCTGACACCTCGTATAGGAACATTTAAATTAGATCTAGCTCACCTCAAAATGATCATCACAAGGTGAGTTAACCTCATACACTCATGGTATATATAACAAATGATCATCATGGTGTGAGGGTAGTTTGCCATGGCGATGGCGCATTTATGTTGACCACATGATACACTATTTTTTTACATGATACACGATATATAACAAATATTAATAAATATGGCCTATAGACAATACTCTTCTATGATTTAACCACCAATAAAAGAGTTAATTAACCAACTGGTATATCATATTGAAATATAAATTAGTAATAATAGTCAAATACTAAAAGGGGAAAATAATTTTAAAACTCCGAACTTTTGAGAGGTGTGTGGTAAGCACCCCAAACTACATTAAAATAATATCAAAGTTGCAAACTCCAAATTAGAATATAATTAAAAATTGACATCCTAATTAAGCAAATAAAATGAAATTATTTGACCAAGAAAAGTCAAATTTGCAAATCAATTTGGGATGGAGGTAGCATAAAATATTGTAGCACCATGATCATATGTTTTTTTCTTACACAAATGTAAAATAATAGTGTGGAGTAAACAATTTATATATTCTAAGCATTTTTAGTGTGCAATTAACATTATAAACTTAATGGTTAATGTTATTCATTTCAAATATTGAAGCTTAGATTAATAATTTCATCCTTATAAATGTCCAAAGTATTTTAAATTTTTAATTTTAGCACTATAACTTTACATTTGTGAAAGAAAAAAATATTATGATGGTGCTAAGATAAATTTTTATATAAACTTTGGGGAATTTTTATTACATATGTAAATTTGGGGTGCTTACCTCACACCCCTTAAAGTTTGGGGTATTTAAGTTATTTTCCCCAAATCAAAACTAACCCATTATGAAATAATCAAATAGTTCTCTGCCTAACCTTTACTCCCAGACTTTTTCACAGTGATTGTAGTATTTTTAGTGTTTAACTTGCAAATTTGCACCAGTGTTTAACTTATTCATTCACACCATCCAAGTATCCATTAGTGCCATAACTGTCAATCTTATAGAAGGAAACAAATCCCAGGATCCTTCCCAAAGGAAATAAGATATTTTCTACCGTTACTATTCTAATCAAGGGAAAATATATTTGTATTTAGGAAAAATTGATTATAATAATCTCAACTATTGGCGGTCCGCTTATAATAATCACAACTATCGATTATTTCAGAATAATCCCAACTTTAGGGATCTTCCGCCAATAATAGTCCCTGTAAATAAGTTTATGTACTTTCTAAAGTGGACGAGAAGAGATATAGCAAGTAATCCCTATAAATTATCCCTAACTTTTAATTTTTAAGCTTAATTTCTATTTACAATTCACTTTTATAGAAGGTAATATTTGGTCATGGACCGTTATTGGCGGACGGTCCATATAGTTGGGATTATACAAAAATAATCAATAGTTGGGATTATTGTTAACGGACCGGCAATAGTTGGGATTATTATTTTCAATTTTTCCTTGTATTTATTAGAGTAATTATATTAGAATATTTCCTTATAGAATAGCTCTCTGTATGTATAAATACCACTATAGACTAATGGAATGATAAGAGCCATAGAGCTTTTACGAGCCCTTCCTCCATGGCTGGTAGCGGAAACATAGCCACACGCCCAGAGGACATCCAGGAACATGAAGACCTGGAAAACCCTATCACCAATGACTCTATACCGACCCTAAAGCCTAGCCGATCCAGGACCGGCAAACGGGAGCAATTTTGTTACGGGGTATTAATAATGGTGATGTCTACAGCCTTCCTGAAGTGCCCACTCCCCCGCCTCCGTGTGTTAACGTCGCTAGGAACTTTTCTATGAATAATTGGCATTGTCGTCTAGGACACCTGGCATTTTCGATGAAAAATTCTTTCATCCTTAGGTATTTCATCTAAACATATTATTCAGAATAATTCTTTATGTGTCGTGTGCAAGTAATAAAAGTCATAAATTACCCTTTGCAAAGTCTTCTCTTTCTAGCAGACCCCCTTGATCTCATTTATACAGATGTTTGGGGTCCTTCTCACATTAATTCCATTGATGACTTTCGTTATTATGTTATTTTTGTCGATCACTTTACCAAATATATTTGGTTTTATACTCTCACTCATAAATCAGAAGTGACTTCAGTTTTTCAAAATTTTAAAAAAAAATGTGGAAACCTTTTTCCAAAGACAAATTAAAACGATTTATTCCGATGGAGGGGGCGAGTACATTACTCTTGGGAAATATCTTGCCACATGTGGTATTTCTCATCTATTCACCCAACCATATACTCTCAAACACAATGGTTTTGTTGAACGGCAACATCATCATATTGTGGAAATGGGGATCACCTTGCTCCACCATGCCTCCATGCCGCTTAAGTATTGGTCTTATGCCTTTCTTACTGCAGTTTATCTAACCAATAGACAACCTGCAGCATCTCTAAATTTTTGCACCCCTTATGAAAAACTCTTTCACCGTCCTAGTTATACCAAACTCGCCATCTTTGGATGTCAATGTTTCCCATGGCTACGACCTTACACAGCACATAAGTTAGAACCTAGGTCTAAATCATGTGTTTTCTTAGGTTATTGTGATCAACAAAGTGCTTACCGTTGCCTCGATCGAGTCACTAACCGTATCTTCATTAGCCGACATGTTGTGTTTGATGAGTCAGTCTTCCCTTTCTCTAACAACACCAAACCAGCTACCAACTTATCCTCAGAAATTGACATCTAGCTTCAGCCACCTATTTCCCTTCTTCCTACTTCAGGTACTACGGTGACGGCAGTGTCTCCTATTATTCATACCCCGGATCAACAAGCTTCTCCCAGTGAGTCACTCAATACTAGGGTTGGCATTTTAAACCGAAAAACCGAAACCTGAACCGAAAAAACCCGAACCGAGCTATAAAAAAACCGAACCGAAACCGAACCGACTACAACGGGACCCGAAAGTCGGGACCCGAAAAATAATCGATTCGAAGGCGGTTTTTAGAGGTTTAAAATCGGTTCAAACCGAACCGAACCGATTTTTATTAAGTGTTATATATTTATATATATTCTGCACCTCATACGTAATAAATATGTTAAAAGTCCGTTTCTAAACAAGTTTGTGATGCGGTTCAGCGATTGTGGGAAGACATCTCCTTCCGCTTTCAACTTTTCACCCGTGTTCGAATCCCATCTGCTTCACATTCCACATTTAATTTTTCTAAACCCTTCCAAATTATCCCACACCGGTTGAAACAGAGAAGTTAGTCCTCCTAGCTCCCTATATATGCGGCTCTTCGGTAAGAATTTGAATCAGGCGAGCTAAGTCTTGCTTCCCTGCCACTCTTCAGGCAATAGTTCCAAATTTATTCGGTTTTCGGTAAAACCGAAAAACCAACCCAAAAAATCGTGTTCCGAAAAATCCGGTTTGATTATTAATCGGTTCGGTTTCGGCTTAGAGAATTTGAGAAACCGAATGTTTGGTTTGGAATTTTTCTATTTCGGTCCGGGAACCGAACCGAATCCACCCCTACTCAATACTCTTCCTCTCTCTCCTATCCCCATCCCGCCACCCTCTCCTAAGCCTAACCCTCATAATCTTATCACCTACCAACGCCGATCCAAAAACCAACCTCCTAGTACATCATCCCTTAACAAACAGCCTGTTACCCATACCACCCCCACCCCCACTGAACCACCTCTCACCTCCCCTTCCTTACCACACATTGATTCACCACCCAAACGGACTCATCCAATGACTCTTAGAACTCGTAAACTAGCTAACATTATTACCCAATCTTCTTTACATCATCATGTTATCTCCATTTGTGCTTCCCAAGCTTTACAGGTACCGGAATGGCGAGAAGCTATGTCAGTGGAATTTGATGCCTTGGTTTAACAAGGTACTTGGGATCTTGTCCCTGCTACTTCTGGCCAAAATATTGTGGGTTGCAAATGGGTATACACTGTGAAATATAAAGCAGATGGTTCTCTGGATGGGTACAAAGCCCGATTGGTGGCTAAAGGGTTTCATCAACGGTCGGGGATTGATTATTCTGACACCTTTAGTCCGGTGATCAAATCTGTCACCATTCGAGTAGTTTTAACCATTGCTTTGTTTCATGGCTGGCATGTTCATCAATTGGATGCCAACGATGCCTTCTTACATAGCTCTCTTCAGGAAGAAGAAGTCTACATGAAGCAACCCCCTGGTTTCAATGATGGGTTCGGCCGTGTGTGCCGTCTTCGCAAATCAATTTACGGTCTCAAACAGGCACCTCGTGTGTGGTATCAATCTCTTAGTGGCTTTCTCCTCTCTCTGGGTTTTCAGCAGTCCGTATCAGATGCCAGTCTATTCATATTCTCATCTCATCCATCTTACATTTATGTTCTAGTGTATGTGGATGACACTATTGTTACTGGCTCAACTCCTGCTCTGGT